CAGTTGATCACACATGCATGGATTTTTTTCTAGAATATCTATTCCAGTGGTCTATATGCCTTTCTTTATGCCAGTACCATACTGTTTAAATTATGATAGCTTTGTAATATATTTCAAAATCAGGAAGCATGATGCCTCTAGCTTTATTCTTCTTTCTCAAAACTGATTTGGCTGTTTCAGGTCTTTTGTAATTCCACATGAATTTTTGGATTGTGTTTTCTATTTCTGTAAAAAACATAACATTAGGATTTTGATGGGAATTGCACTGAATCTATAGATCACTTGTGGTAGAATGTACATTTTATTAATACCAAGTCTTCCAATCAATGAACATGGGATGTCTTCTCATTTGTGTCTTTAATTTTTTCATCAGTATTTTATAGTTGTCATTATGTAAGTCTTTCATCTTCTTAGTTAAGTTTATTTCTAGATATTGCATTCTTTTTGATGTTATTGAAAATGGGATTGTTTTTCTAATTTCCTTTTCCAATAGTTTGTTGTTTATCCAAAAGAATGGAAATCAGGAACTGGAACAGGTATCTGCTCTTTCATGTTCATTGTGGCACTATTTATAGTAGTCAATCAAGATGTGGAAAAAACCTAAAAGTCTACAGACAACAGATGAATAAAGAAAATGTATATCTATACAGTAGAATATTATTCATCTTAAAAAAGAAAAAAGTTCTGCAATGTGAGACAACATGGATAAACCTTGAGGACGTTATGCAAAGTGAAATAAGCACAAAAGGACAAATATTGCATGTTTCCACTTATATGAGGTATCTACGGTAGGCAAACTCATTGAACAAAGAGTGGAATGGTGGTTACCAGGGGCTGAGGAAGTGAGAATGGGTGCTATTAATCAATGAACTTCACATTTCAATCAAGCAGGATGAGTAGGTTCTAGACATCTGCTGTACAACATTGTACCTATTGTTAATGATATCATATTGTACAATTAAAATCTGTTAAGAGGGTAGATGTTGTGTTAATTTTGTTCTTGAAATAAAATTTAAAATAAATAGAACATGAAATCTTATATTTTAAAATCTTTCAAATCAGTAAGAATTAAAACATATGTTAATTTACAATTTACTGTTTCAAAACATATGGGATAATTACAAAAGTAAGAAATCAAACTTATGCACCTATGAGAATTACATCATTTATGTCATTTCACTTTG